CAGTTTGCGTTTACGTGGGGAGGCAGGCAGTGGACCTTTCAGGTCCTGCCACAGGGGTGCGTGCATTCACCAACGTATTGTCACAATCTAGTGGCGCATGACCTGGCTGATTGGACAAAACCTGATGATGTTAATCTATATCATTATATTGATGATCTCCTGTTGACATCCGACTCACTGGAGGCAGTAGGACAGGCAGCAGATTCATTAACTGCCTATTTACAACAGAGGGGATGGGCTATAAATCCCCAAAAGGTGCAAGGTCCAGGCCTGTCTGTAAAATTCCTGGGGGTGGTTTGGTCAGGAAAGACCAAAGTGCTACCCAGTGCTGTTATAGATAAAGTTCAGGTGTTCCCAGTCCCTACAACATCAAAGCAGCTGCAAGAGTTTCTAGGTATATTGGGTTATTGGCGTTCCTTTATACCTCACCTAGCACAGCTGCTAAGGCCACTGTACAGACTCACAAAAAAGGGGCAGCTATGGGACTGGGGGAAAACCGAACAGGATGCTTTCCAACAAGCAAAACTGGCAGTTAAACAAGCTCAGGCATTGGGTATATTCGATCCTACCCTCCCAGCCGAGTTGGACGTTCATGTTACTCAAAACGGCTTCGGTTGGGGCCTGTGGCAACGCCAGAGTTCTGTTCGGACCCCCATTGGTTTCTGGTCTCAGGTTTGGCACGGAGCAGAGGAAAGATACAGTATGATTGAAAAACAGTTATTGGCTGCCTATTCGGCATTACAGGCAGTAGAGCCAGTAACTCAAACAGCTGCAGTTATAGTCAAGACCACTCTGCCAATTCAGGGGTGGGTGAAAGATCTGACCCACCTTCCTAAGACAGGGATGGCCCAAGCACAAACAGTGGCACGATGGGTCGCCTATCTCAGACAAAGGAGCAGTCTGTCTTCATCACCCTTGAAAGAAGAACTCCAGAAGATCCTAGGCCCAGTTACGTATCACAGTGATGCACCAAAAGAAATACTGGTCGCTCCACCAGAGAAGAGTCCCATTCAGGAGGGAAAATATCCTATCCCTGAAGATGCCTGGTACACAGATGAGTCCAGCAAGGGCAACCCGAGCAAGTGGAGAGCAATAGCATACCATCCTTCCAGCGAGACAATCTGGTTCGATGAGGGGGATGGTCAGAGCAGCCAATGGGCAGAACTGCGAGCCATGTGGATGGTTATAAGCAAGGAACCCGGTGATGGTATCCTGAACATCTGCACAGATAGTTGGGCTGTGTACCGGGGGCTCACTCTTTGGATTGCACAGTGGGCCACCCAGGAATGGACTATCCATGCCTGACTGATCTGGGGCAAAAACATGTGGTTAGATATATGGAATACGGTCAAACATAGGACCATACGTGTCTACCATGTTTCTGGTCATCAGCCCCTACAGTCACTGGGAAACAATGAAGCCGACACACTGGCCCGAGTTCGATGGATTGAGAATTCACCATCTGAGAACATCGCCCGCTGGTTACATCAGAAGCTACGGCATGCTGGACAAAAGACAATGTGGGCAGCTGCTAAAGCATGGGGACTGCCCATACAACTATCTGATATTGTCCAGGCATGCCAGGAGTGCGACGCTTGCTCCAAGATGAGACCGAGATCGTTGCCCGAAACAACAGCCCATCTTGCTAGGGGACACAATCCTCTCCAGCGATGGCAGGTCGATTACATCGGGCCTCTTCCTCGTTCCGAAGGGGCAAGATATGCCCTGACCTGTGTCGACACTGCAAGTGGGCTACTGCAGGCCTATCCAGTACCGAAAGCAAACCAGGCATATACCATCAAGGCACTCACTAAACTGATGTCTGCCTATGGGACACCTCAAGTCATCGAGAGCGACCAAGGGACTCATTTTACTGGTGCAACGATACAGCGCTGGGCAGAAGAAAATAACATCGAATGGCGATTCCACCTGCCATATAATCCAACGGGGGCAGGCCTCATCGAACGTTATAACGGTATTCTTAAGGCTGCCCTGAAGACAGACTCCCAGTCCTTGCAGGGGTGGACAAAAAGACTGTATGAAACCCCGCGGGACCTGAATGAAAGACCTCGAGATGGCAGACCCAGTGCCCTGAGAATGTTGCAGATGACATGGGCCACCCCGCTTAGGATCCAAATTACGGGCACTGATCATCAGGTAAGACCCCAGATTGGTAATGAAAATAATCTTCTGCTCCCTGCCCCTGAAAATTTAGAGCCAGGTACCCATAAAATAAAATGGCCCTGGAAGGTGCAGGTAGGACCCAAGTGGTGTGGCCTACTTGCACCTTGGGGGAGACTATTGGAGGTGGGAGGCGCAGTAGTCCCTCCAGTAATAGGTACATGGCCTACTGATATTGTGGTCAACACTCCGATCTTTATTGCTAAAGGGACCCCCATCATGTCCCTGTGGCAGATCAGGACACCTCCTTTGGTGCCTGATATCGTTATGCAGCCGCAGATATCTGGCCAAAAGGTGTGGTACAGGCGGCCAGGACGTGCCCCAGTACAAGCGGAAGTGTTGACCCAAGACAGAAATATGGCCTGTATCTTGCCCTGGAGAGCAGACCTTCCCCTCCTGGTACCTGTAAAACATCTGTATTACTCCCCGTGAGTCTGTGAGCCTTCAGGACCACCGGAAGGAACAAAATGCCATCAAGTGTCCCAGTGTTGCTGTCAGATCACGTACAACACCTGGTGATGGTCTGCATGGGACTGATGGAACATAGAATGGACTTGCACCTCAGGACCTCATGCCTCCAGGCACATCATCGAGCACTGGCCCATAGAAGAGTATGGACATCCACTAATCATCACTTGTCTTGAACTGTACCAACACACGTCGCGATAAAATTGTATAAGCCTCGCGATATACCGGATCTCTGTATTAGGGAAAGCTTACCCTTTTGTTAACCTGATCATTGGTTCACGCCGTGAAGGGGTGGAGTGTATGGGAACTGCTGAGTCACGGCCCGAACCTCTGATTGATCACCTGAGGCGAGCCATGAGTCAGCCAGAGGAGCACAGGTGAAGGCAATTCACCTGTGCTGCCGGAAGGGGTGGAGCCTGGCTCCACCCCTCCTAGACCTATTTAAGAGCTGGCTACCAGAAGGGAAGGATCTCTTCTGGAGATCACCTCTCTTGGTGTCTTCTGGTGAGCTCAGCCGAAGGGTAAGCTCTTCCACTTATTCTCTTTTGTGATTGTTGTTTACTTTTGCCTAATTCTCTTGATTATATTGCGATTATAACATCTTGATATCTATTGATTATACAATTATATTGTGATTATAACATCTTGATTATACACCTCCGCATCCTACTTGGGCTCACTTTTCCTCATGGCTCAAACACACCACAGCAAAGACTGCAGTAACACAAAACTAAGACTCACAATGCTGTCTACGATGTAATTCGCAGCAGCAGTCATTCATTTTTACTATTAGAGACTCTTTATTTCATACTCGCATCTGGAAGAACAAAATATTTCCATATTCACGCTCAAAAGTGGCTCAAACAAAACCAGTCTGTCCTTCCATGCAGCAGTCCCAAAAGGCACGCAGTCCATTTTGTCTGCAGTTGTGCCATTTTGTCAGTTCTACAGACAGCTGAAGCTTTTGCAGCCTTTAAAACAACTTTGGTTGCTATGGCTACGAGCTCTTCTAAATACCTCTACCAGATTAAAAATGTTCTCATTTTTAATGAGAAAAAAAAATAAAAATAAAAAACCACATGAGGTCTGATGATACTACCCGATTCTACCTGATTCTCGGCTGATATCACACACACACACAAAAAAATCATTCTAGATTTAGAACAGCGGGAGCTAAAGTGTGGCATAAGTTAACAGAAAAACACTGAAAGCACATTTCCTCTGTGCTCTGCAAGTCAGAGGGAAATGAGTTTAAATTAAAATGGGGAAATTGCAGTTCGATGTTAGGAGGAAATGTTGCAGCCAGAGGGTGGCGAGGCGCTGGCACAGCTGCCCAGAGGAGCTGTGGTGCCCCATCCCTGGAGGTGCTCAGGCCAGGCTGGATGGGCCCTGGGCAGCTGAGCTGGTGGGGGGCAGCCCTGCCCACAGCAGGGTTGGGGTTGGGGGCCTGTGAGGTCCCTTCCAATCTCAGCCATTATATGATGCTGTGGTCTTCCAAAGGGATATGAAGCTTAACGTATATTTGCATCTTTTTAGTCATTATTAACTATTTACAATGTATTGCACTGTACAGTAATACTGTAAATAGTGCATTTACAATGTAACTGCTTACAGTGTCAAAGATGAGACTTAGTCCAAAGGTTGTGCAGGAAGTGCAGATATGAGATCAGCTGAGGGCTTTCATCCCTCACCAGCTCTTGATTAGGGCAAATGCCAGGAAGCCCACAGAAAGCAGTGACTTCAAAGACGACAGCCAAGAGCTGGACCTCCAATAGTAAGTATCTGCATATTCCTTCACACACACAACAGTCTGGCTGAAGTTCTGGCCCTGAAAGCATTGCCCCAGCCATCTTTACATTAAGATCTGCAGCAGTGAATTATGGCATCAAGTTAATTACAGGTGACAGAATTTATTGTGCTATCGTGTACCAATAAAAAATCTCAGTTGTCATATTCTTCCAGATAAAGATTTTTCGCGTGCTTTGAACCATTAAGACAAGGTGATCCAGTGGTCCTTGCTTAAAACATGCAATTGAACTTAAGTGCTATTTTCTACTTGGAACTTAATAGTCTGATGAAAAACTAACTACCAAATGGGATTATTACGTTTCTAACATTTCTAATGAATAAACAGTTCTCTTCCAAACAACCAACACAGAAGATTGTTTTTATGTGTTATTACTCTGAGTTACATTACCCAGTTAAAAATACCCCATACGTAAGGGAATCTACTCCTCTGAACACAGAAAATAGGCAGTTACAGAAATTCAAACAACAAAATGTTCCCTTGTGTTGCATAAGAAGACTGGAGAAACCAGCAGACCATCTAGCAAAAATAAAAGTGTACTCACTGTACTGAATGTGAACTTGTGGAGGCTTTTTTCTTAGCGTAAAACCAGCCAGCATTCCTTCACCCATCAACTATTTTGAACATGCACTGGAAATCAAGGGTTGGCAATGAAGATAAACACGTCATTTTTCTACAAGGGAGGTATTACAAAGAAGTTGTTCTTACATGGTAAATAATAGAAACTCACTGAAGAGTGGGATGAAATAATGTAGTTCTTCCAGTACTTTGCTGCGTGGGTGAATACGGACATGAATCTGCCAATCTTATTTCTAACTTCTGAAGAAAACAACAATGAAGACTGATAATGCTCTGCTTTACCTAACATAGTAATTATAACCTCATGTGCTGTTTTATCCCCTCACAATTACTTGACCCTCTGCAAATGTTTCAATATATTGATATTACAATGAAAAACAAGTAGACAAAAGCGTGGTTTTACCAACACGCCTCTTTCAGAAGCCCTATTTATTAGTATGCCAGTTTCAAATTTAGTGTTAACATATATTAAGCTAGGAAGAGAGCCACTATCATGTTAATATCTATTAGTCATTGTAATTATGAAAAAACAATTAGATATGTGTTGCATCACCTTGATTGAATATCCCTGTGATGCATCTCTAGTTTACATCTACTGACCTCCTGATCCTCTGGGAGATTAGCAAAAATGAACCAAATAAAATAAGACTTCTCACCTGCGGTTTGGTTTCCAAATCATATTCAACACCCAGCGTGTACATCTTCTGTTATCCTGCTCTATATTTGTGCTGTGTATCACCAAAATCTTTTCTCCTTAGGGTTGTTTTGAAGTGTTAAAGATGAAGTCTCAGCCAGATGGAGAGCCAGCTCCAGGTACAAGAGGTGTACCAGCAGAACCAGGAGTTACTAGGGTAGGAAAGTACAGGATGGCATCCCTTTTTGGTGCTGTCTGCCACACTGTGGGGTCAGCAGGGAGAAATGCACATCATCTCCTCACATAGCAATTAAAGACCGCTGTGACATTATTTTAGGATTTGGCATCCTCAGTGGGTGAACCCAGCACCTGCCTGTATGGCAGCATGAGGCCTTTTGGCTCGAACATCAATCCCAAACCCCACAGAAACAGGGAGACTGCAGCATGTGTCCTTCGTGCAGCCCCTGTGCTTGAGTCAGAGATCGCTGACGTACGGCAGTGCCCCATTTCTGCTGTGGTGCGACACGGGATTGCTGAAGTCGCTGCAGATTTGGAGAAACGACAGATCATCTCCAGAAAGCGCTCCCCATACAACTTGCCCACATGCGTGGGGCACAAGCCCCATTTTGGGGGCAATGACTCACACCCCCCTGTCACAGCCATGCACCAAGGGCACCATCACCCCACTGTGCACAGCCATCAACTTGTCTCAGGACTCCACTCACCCTACAGGCATCCCTGCCCCTGTCCTCAATCCCATGGTGACATCAGCATGGACTGAATTGGGGCAGGGGATGTGTGAGGACACAGGGACGTGTGGGGACATGGGGGGACATGGGGTGAAGGTGTGGAGTCAGAACTGCAGAGGTGAGATGAGGTGACACGTAGAGGTGACACAGGGAGGTGGCAAGCCGTGCCAGGAGGTGCCGGTGCCATGTGAGCAGCACTGCAGGGCAGATGAGCAGCACCAGCCCAACCTGGGGGTGATGGTGACACTCCAGGATGTGGAGATGCTATTGGTTTTCAAGCAGGAGTTCATTATCTATACATAATACTGCACTTGTTTCTTTGTTTGTTTAAAGTCAGTGATAGTATGCAGCCTAATCCCATGTCTTTGAAAAGTGCAGTTTAAGGATCGTCAGCTGAGAACAGCAGCAGAACATGGGGTTGTCACAGGGGGAAGGCACAGGGAAGGAAGTGAGGAAAGAAAGGAGAAAGCCTGGAAATGGAATGGGGAAGGCACAGGGCGAAGGAAGGGGCAAGACATAGGGGAACGAGAGGGAAAAGGACAGAATAGCTGTAGAGCAGCCTAAAAAGCAGCAAGATGCTCTGGGAGGACTGTCAAGTGCCAGATTCTGTACCAGGTGTGTATCTGTGTGCATATGTTGCCATTACCTGCTTTGGTCAGGGTTCTTGTCAGTTCTGAGCTCTTGCAGTGGGAAGAGCTCGAGCAACTGGTGCAGTCGCTGCAGACCTGTGCGATGGGGGAGTGCTTGATAAGGACAGCCCGGCAGCCCTCAGCTGGACAAACTTGCTCCGTGTGCCCAGACTGGGAGCTGTACAGTGCCCGGCCGCACTGCTCCAGCTCAGAGCCCGCTGCCTGCAGCTGCATTTTTCCTTCCTTCCCTCCTGCCCAGAGCCTTGAGGGTGCTCCCACAGTCCCCTGCCCACCCCCAAAATGTCAGAGAAGACAGCTGGCAGCGAGCTGGAGGAATCCCAGCACCCTGTTTTCCTTCTGCTGCAGCTCTCTCCTCCTCTGCCACACAGGGCTCCAGCCTGCGAAATGGGAATGGTTGGGGGGGAAAGGGAGTGCTGGCAGGAGCGACTGCTGCAGCTGGCTGGGGAGGGTCTGTGTACCCCGTGCCCTTCTGGGCTGTCTGTCCAGCTGCAGGAAGACCAGGGTAGGGCAGCTGAGAAGCTGCCCCCATCAGAGGGGGGAACAAGCTGTCCTTCCACAGAGACATTCCTCTCACAGCCAGATGCACCCACACAACTCTCGGGCCATCTTGCCAATGGCAGCTGTGACACATCAATTCTTTCTAAGCAGATGAATTAATTTTTTCCATCTGTAAACTGAGGGGGAGAACTGCAGTTTTTGTTAATCTTTGTAGGAACACTGTAATGGTCCACACAGAACTCAAAACTGCAGCTTTGTGCTAGATCTGGCTGCTTAGACTTGCTAGGACCTAAAACTTCCCATTTTATGGCATGAAAAGAACAAAAAGCCAAAAATGAAACCCGCAGTGAAAGAAAGGCTTTTGAAGAAAAATACGTGGAAGTATAAACAAGACGGAGACTGATTGAACATTCGTATGGCCCTGCACTTTCTGCCAATGGGCTCTAATCCCATTATCATTAAATTTGCTGGGCAGTTGCATTTTGGTATTTCAACATTTAGAAACAATGCAACAGACGCTGGCAAAAAGAAAGAAGAAAAGAAAAAAACCTCTTTTTTTTTTTAAAGCTATTTATATGCATTTGGCACAGCTCTCCTGGGTTTAGAGTAGTTTCCCTCTTTCTTCTTTGTCTTTCCCCCCACAACCCCTCCACTTCTAACTTCGTGCTCCTCTCCCGCCCTCACAGCACACACACCGATCCCGTCGGAAAAGTTCTTTCCGCGGTCTCTGCTGCCACCTCCTGGACAATGCGCGGAACGGCTGCTGCATCCCGCAAGCAGCACAACGCATGCGCGTACAAAATGCGGAAGTGCCGTTCTAACGCTCTGCTCAGCTAATCCGCCGCCTCTCTATGGTCATCAGTCCTGCAGGTAATAGCGAACATGCGCCCACCAACTTAAAAACAGCAATTTTTTCGAACCACCACTATGGGTATGGGCAAGCAGCCGATTTTTGGACCGCCGGCACAGCAATATTCTTCCCCTTCTAATCCAGGATGCCCCTCGTCTATTTCCGCCGTTTTATGCCCGAGCCCACCATGAGTGGGCTCTATGAGTGGGCGCCATGAGTGTCCTGGCGCATGCGCTCTGTTGCCTCGAGGACTAACCATAACAAAGCTCGGCGGATTTGCTGCGCAGAGCGAGGAACACCATCGCCGCGTGCTTGTGCGCATGCACCCTGGTGCCTGCGGCGCCAAACACGGCCGCAATTCCACCTATTGGCCACGAGGGGGCACCGGAGACCGCGGAAACATCAACGACTGGCTCGACGCGCAGCCGCGCCGCAGCTTCTAGCGCTCTGTTCTCCCTGCCGTGATGGCAGAGGAAAAGTGCAGTTAGATGGGGGTTGAGGGAGGAGAAAATTACGTCAATTGGAAAAAGACGAAGAAAACCAAGGAAAACTTCTCTACATCCAGCAAACCTCTGCTAAGCACGTAAGAATATCTGTAAATCAATCAATAAATAATCAAATTGATTTTGTCTTTTTTTTTTTTTTTTTTTTTTTTTTGCAAGCCTCTGAGGTGATAAAAAAGCTGGTATCAATTGGACAGGTGTGCGCAGCAAAGCCAAGGATGGCTAGGAGTGATCAGCCATCATTAACGTTGCAAAACAATTGCAATGCAAAACAGACATTCAACTTCAAGAATAAAAGCATAGTAGTTTTCTATTTCTATTTCTAACTTCCGTACCTGGCCACGCCATTCTGGGGATCCCATCTGGGTCTCCCGAGGCTTGTAAATATCCACTGCAATATTGATTTTGATACTGAGCTTCCCACAGTCATTACAAACCTGCCTGCATATAAGCAATGCACGTACAAGGAGTTCATGATGTTTCATTACCTACTCCACAGATTTCACAGTGCTTATACCACTGATTAGAGGAGCCCTGGTAATCCTTAAACCCCATCAAGCTGTAAAATGAGATCAGAAGAGACATAGAACATATATTAATACATAGCAATACACAACAGAGCACCCTTAAGCAATTCTGCACGGGTGGAATTAATATAGCAGTGCAAATTAGTATCTAAATAGGCTGGGATGAGGTTGGAGCAGACAAACCATGTTTGGAGCCCCAGGTCGGAGACTATGAGGTGAGAATCATAAAAGAGGGAACAGAGGCTCAACCAGAAGGTAATGAGTCTAAGAAGATTTGCAGACAGGATCTGGAGAATTCAGAACCTGTTTATAGAAAAGGGCATTAGGGCATGAGACCTTCCTCCAGTGCTTCTATTCTTTGATGTAATAAATACACACTCTGTTACACTGTTTGACAGAGAAGCCTGGGAAGACATTAAAAAAATTGAAGTAGCTTTAGAGATGGAGTGCCTTAAATAGTGATCCTCACCTCTCCTAGGCCCATTTAAGAGCTGACTGCCAGTGGGGAAGGATCTCTTCTGGAGATCAACTAATAAAATACACATTTTTTTTAATTTAACAGATTGCATCTTAGAAAATTCAGTGGAAGTGGAACAAGGATGATTACAAATCACTTCTCAATCTAGTTACTAAAACATGTCTAAGACAGAGCATTCACACTTTTTATTAACATTTATTCAGCACAGAATTCTCTGCATTCCTCCTATATACAGTCAGCTTGAGCTCTTATGTATATTATTTTGCAAACCACTGTGATACTTAGGCTTAACATGGTGAGTTCTCTCCTTTCTGTAATACCAGTTATTGATGTTAGTGTCATGTGGGAGACTGCTTC